TACCTGATGCTGGCTTTAGCTGAAATCGCTGCTGCACCTGCACCTGTTACTACGCAAAACTTCTCTTCTGGCCACTGATAACACCTGATTTTGACTCATTTTCACCATTGATTTCAAATGCTTTTTCAAAGGTTTTAATCAGTTTTATGAACTTTTATTATGATTTCTATGTATTTGTAGTTTCAAGACTCTTTTCAGGAAACTTAGGGAAAATGATGGCAAAATGGAAGAAATCTACTTTTTCAGCTCAGAGTCAGACCGTCGGAAGTTTTGTAACAAATGGAGGCCGTTCCACCGTGTGATCCAGCTCAAATTTAGAGACATTCAAGAGGAGACAACCAGCTTTACATAGCATTTTACATCACAAAGATCCAACGGTGCAATCAAAAGATACATGGAGAACAAGTTGACCCAGTTCACCTGTCCCAGAAGACTCTCACCCGCGGGAAACTTATGTTTTACCTGCCCTGGAAGACTCTCACCTCCGGTGGACCTTACGACGAGCCACAAGGCCCAACATCAAAGCCCACTTCGCTATTTCTCTTCATAGAAGCCCTAAATGAGACCTGGAAGACCTTAGGACCTATAAATACATTGTTTAGCAGCCCTAGTGTGTGCTCCTGTAATGAGATTTTGAGCCACCAAACTCTGATTTTCTAGGGTTAGGCGATGGAGATGGGGATTCTTCCCCAGATCCAATTTTCTTTCTTCTTTTTATCTTATTAACATTTTCATTCTTTTGCATTCATCTATGTCTTTCATCATTCATTGGATCATGTAGATTAGTCTTAGAGAGTCAAGTTGTTTGAAGATATCGACAAGCATATATATCGATTAGGATTTCTATTGTTCTAGAAAATATTCTGGATCTCATCTCTTCTAAGTTGTTCATAAAGCATGAGAGTAGATTCATGACCTATTCTCTGAGCCTAGGATCGATCATAGCCACGAGAGTGCTGTATCAGATCATCCATACCTAGCTTCAAAAGAACATAGTCGCTATATGAGTCGAAAACTACCTATAGAGAAGATGTGAGCAGACGAATTCAATGTCGAATCCATGATCTTAAGTTTAGCATGAGATCGAGAGTTAATTGCTAGATCTAAGTGATTAGTTGATTAAAGTGACGAGAGTTGGTTAATCATACATATGTCTATTCTAGTTCCATGCAGATTCCCGGAAACAGATGAAGATAAATCACCTGGAAGCTAATTAGAAATGCCATCATACATCGATTAGAGTAAACCGAATAAGTCTAAATCGCCACCTATGAGTTTAAGAGTCTTTAGTTTGAGTCGATATGCTTTAGATATTCTTTTAACAATTCATCATGCATTGCATTTTATTTCTTGTGAATATTAGATTAGGTTTAGTTTAGGATCTTAACCAAACCCCAAATTTTTTATTGGTTTATGACTTTGCTTACTTCCTAGTTTGGTGTTTCTTGCAGATTAGACATCCTCCCTGTGGATCGACACCCTAAGTCCTACAACGTACATCTGTGCACTTGCAGACACTAGGATTTTATAAATTTAAAACTTTTGGAGGACCAACAGGCTTGTTAAAAAACAACCCTAGGCCCGCAAGCCCATCAGCCACGTTATTGCTTCTTTAATTGGAGAGAGACAGACCATCCAAAACAGGAAATGAGCAAAAAATTTTTTCGCAGATCAGCAATGAAACTGTCCCCCTCTTTCCCCTTGCCTAGCCAAGGTATGGCAACAGACATAAGACCTGATCATTTTTGGTTTCTGAGAAGAAACAGCCTTCTTATTTGGTTGAGAGTAGTCCCATACATGAATCACTGAGCCCTATACTGCTAACACAATGTGTTTCTAACAAAGCAGAGGTTGGTCTCAGTGTTGTCCTAAGACTGGAAGCTGCAAAACATCCACCAAAGAAATAAGAAAAAACGATTATATCAAAATAAACCCATTGAAGTATTCACCTCAGCACTGAAATTCCACTGTCTTTAGAACTTCATACCAAAACCGAAGCAATTACACGTGCAAACCATCAAACGTGATACACAAGAAACTTGTATCTCGACAAACTAAAAAACAACAAAGACAAAGAGAGCACTGATCCAGTATCCCAATAGTTAGATCCACTTATAAAGAAATAGACAAAGTTCTTTTATCAAACGCCGTTTTTTTCTGGTAATACAAGGCTTATATCGGCTTGTGTCATAAAGAGGACCCGAGCCTAAATTTTATAAAGAAACAAAGAAAAAAAAGTTTCCTTTCAGTAAAACTGAGGACTGTGAATCTCTAAGGCAGATATCAAGTTACATCTCAAATCAAGTGTACATCGATCCTCCTCATGTATTCTGTTAGGATCTAGAACATAAGTAAATGTAACAATGGAAGAAACTAATGACAGAACCATGTGTTGAAAAAAAGAGGAGGGGGGGGGGGGGCGCATGTTATACAAACGTTGATATGAAATGTCTCAAGAATCTAGTAGACAAAAAACAGAAACAGCAGAACATAGTACACATAGATTGTGCCATTAAACGTAGAGTGACAGAAATTCTGAATACTGGATAATCTGAGCTTCGCCAAACAAACGATTATAATCCATCTAACCCATAAATTGTGTGCGCCTCTCAAGGTGTCTTGACATGTCAAAATTGTAATAATCTTTTAGAAGAACATTAAACTATACATGTAAGTGAATAATAACAAAATACAAATGCAAGTAATCACGAAGAAGAGAAAATCGTGGAGCCAACTTACTTGTAAGGAACAATAACGTTGTAACAAAAAAAGGAATATAGACTTACACTTACGACCTTCAGGTTAACGATCAGGTTGAGGCATGTTGAAAGAAAGAGAAAATTCAGACAAATTACTTCGGCATTGTAATTCAAACCATGCATCATTCAACTCGACTTTGCAATATTAGAGATGCATCTTAAAATCATAATCACAAAGTATAGAATTAGAATTTTTTTTTTTACAAAATGATGCATCTCTAAAAACTATAAGCGATGCATCATAAATTGTCTAATTGTATAAAAAGTAAACCGAATGAATATAACAACAGAAAAAATCCATAAGTCTACCTCTTGACATGTTGTCCATTGTATAAACCACCAACGGAGATAACCTAATAAAATTAGCATGATGGAAGGTATATATTAATGTAAGACTACAAAATTGAATTAAAAAGAAACAAATTCAAACACAAAACAGTGAAGAGAACATAACAGAACTAAATATGTGTTCGGTCATGAAGATCTTGAATAACAAATATTTCTTAAAAGCATATGTAACAAACACGACCACATATATTGCTATTTGTCAAAGATTTTCAACACAATACGAAGCGATGTATAGATAATACACGATCCCGTATCATAATGAACACTAAAAACACACAGAAAGAGATCTATGAATCAATTGACATATCTAAAAAAATGATAAAAAACTAATTAACAACAATTATTATTTACAACTACCTGTTAGATCCATTGGAAGATATGATTCCAAAAGTTCGAGCCAATCAGATATAGTTTGCGGGATGAACTCTAGGTTTAAGGAAAAACAATAAAGAAGCTCAGGTTAATTTATATTTACAAACAATAACTGATTACTCCTAAATATTTATGAACACGAATATATAAAAAGACGTTTACGAATAATAAAGTAGAGGGACACGACCTACGAAGACAGTGAAGGTTGTTGTATGTTTAAAACATATGTAGACAATACAAGCATATATAGAGTAGGATAGATCTTTAGGGTTATAGGGTTTCTATGTTGTTGGCCCATTTAAGATATTCGGTGGCTATGACCGAGAACAAAACCACTGTCCCATTTACAAACTCGATGGCCTATAATCGATAAAAAGTCATGTCACATATATTGACACATATGATTAATGATCTTTATATCAGAATTATTAAAATGCCACATATTTTTTTAATAATGACACATAAGCGAATAGCTGTGGAGACGACACATAGGATTTCTGACTTCACAAATAATAGTATAGATTCATTACATGATCCACATGATATCAAGGAAACAAACTCAACAAATCACAATCAGAGCAGATAATTTTTGCTGTTGCAAATTTGCAATTATAAAAGGAGAAATTGTGGATAAAATCTTTGACTAGGTTCTCAAATTTCAATAAAAAGTTAGATATCAAAAAGCAGTGATAATGTTTTAAACATGAAAATCCGCTTATGTATGAATCTTTGATTCTGTCCACTTCTAATCAGCGGAGCTATATAATATGTGTAAACACCAATTTTAAACACCAGCCATTGTTCTAGCTCTTTTTCTTTCCCCTTTAGATGGTTCTTTCAAACACTATCTCCAACACAAGCTCTGAAACAAGGAATCACAATCGATTTGCAAGATATATGTATAATCTGAAGGTTATGCTAGAGCAAGACTTATACAAATCATATTGGTTCATTTGGTGATATGATCCTAGATGAGGATCAAGCCCTGGATTACTCTCCAATGATTGTGAATTCAGTATTTGGTGACTTGAGGGGGTTGCGGAATGAGGTGATTTGAAATAGCTTTTAAAATAAGGAAGAATAAGGTGAGCTTGCCTTGATACTTCTAAGAGAGATGGAAGATCTCTTAGACTATCAACAGAATTTGGTTAGTTTGTAAGGCAAGGATAAAGATCCGAATACACTTAACAAACAATGATCAAACGTTTTCAGAGAAAGAGATTATAGAAAAAGGTTTGATGGATTAAAAGAAGGACAAGGAGTTGTACATATAGAGTTTTAGAACACTTGGGAAACAACAAAGACAGCTAAGAAAACTGAAAGACTCAACGACTCAGACTTAAACGAGTTTGAATTTGAAAACAGGCTCTTCTCTTCTTTGATCAAATCTGGAGAACGAAATGGGCTGAGTTTTCATCAAGAGGCCGTTGTAATAGTGTTATGAACAAGCCTCATCAAAAACCTTGTTTAAAAAACCCAATTGGGAAAAAACCAAATGAAGGGAAAAAGAGCACAAGTCACAACACCTCTCTTGATGAACTCTAAAGAGGCTTGTATCACAACCAGAGTAGTTGGATTAGCACACTCAAGATTTCCCTGAATGGTGTGTAATAGCTTGTGGAAAGCTTGTTTGAACTTCAATGCCCTTGATCTTGTCATTGGACCAATCGGAAGATGCAAGTCTTTATCTTCGTCTATACTCGCTTCCTCGGGTTTCAGCTGTTCTTGGTCTTCATTAGATTCTGGTTCATGCTCTCCTTGTTCTCCATTAATATCCTCAGTTCCTAAGCGGGTCTTGATCATATCATCCTCTCCCACTTGAAAAGGATTTGTCCTCAAATCTGTATCTTCTGCAAGAAAAGGAACTCAGTCAGAAACATTAAAGCTCGAACTCACAGAATACTTACCTTGAAGGTCCAGCTGGTAGGCATTATCATTGATCTTCTTGATGATCTTGAAGGTTCCATCAATTCACGGCATAAGCTTAGACTTTCTTTTATTCGGAAATCTGTCTTTTCTTAAGTAAATCCACACCATGTCTCCTTCTTCAAAGACCATTTCCTTTCTGTTCTTGTTAGCATGTTTGGCATAGTACTTAGTCTTGTTCTCGATGTTGATACGCGCCTTCTCATGGATCTTTTTCACTAGCTCTGCCTTTTTCCTCCCATCCAAGCTAACTCTTTCACTCAAAGGTAAATGCATTAGATCCAAAGGTGAGATGGGATTGAACCCGCAAATGATTTCAAATAGGGAAAACTGAGATGCAGAATGCTTAGCATGATTATAAGCGAATTCTACATGTGGTAAACATTCTTCCCAAGTTTTAAATTTCTTTTTAATCAATGCACGCAACAAGGTAGACCCTTCTATTAACTACTTCTGTTTGACCATCTGATTGCGGGTGACATGTGGTAGAGAAGAGCAGTTTAGTTCCTAACTTAGACCAGAGAGTTTTCCAAAAGAAACTAAGGAACTTAGTATCTCTATTAGAAACTATAGATCTAAGCATGCCATGCTATCTTACGATGTCTTTAAAGAACAAATTAGCATCATTCATGGCATCATTTAATTACATGGAATGAAATGAGCCATTTTAGAAAACCTGTCCACAACCACAAAGATAGAATCCTTACCTGTCTTGGTCCTAGGCAATCGAACTACAAAGTCCATAGACATATCATGCCATGGATGCAATGGGATAGGCAAAGGAGTATACAAACCGTAGGGTTGTTTCTTAGTCTTAGCTTGCTTGGAAGTAACATCGTTCACATGAACGCCAAAGTGACCCATTAGTCCACCTGCTTGAGCTTCTTTGACAAAGAGATCTTGAATAGAAGAGTTAGGCACACATAGACGATTCTCAAAGAAAAGAAAATCATCAGCTCTATAGTATTTCCCACTACCAAACTTCTCACATGAAGCATATATATCTTTAAAATCAACATCAGTAGGGTATAGACTCTTAGTGTGTTCAAAACCGAGCAGTTTAGCCACTAAAGAGTTCAAGAGAACATACCTGTGAGATAATGCATCAGCCACCACATTATCTTTACCTTTCTTGTACTTGATGACATATGGAAAAGTCTCAATGATCTCGATCCATTTAGCATGTCTTTTTTCCAGCTTCTGTTTGCCCTTAAGGTACTTGAGAGATTCATGGTCAGTGTGAATGACGAATTCTTTAAGCTAGAGATAGTGTTGCCACGTTTGGAGAGCTCTCACAAGCGCATAAAGCTCCTTGTCATATGTAGGAAAATTCAGTATAGATCCTCCAAGTTTCTCACTAAAGAATGCAATGGGTCTTTTCTCCTACATAAGAACAGCACAAATACCGATTCCTGAAGCATCACATTCTATCTCAAAAGTTTTATTAAAGTCAGGGAGAGAAAGCACCAGGGAATGAGTAAGCTTATCCTTCAAAGTTTAAAATGCTTCTTCTTGGTAACCAGGAGAGAAAGCACCAGGAAATCCCACGTTTTTCTTGATAACCTCTATGAGAGGCGCTGCTAGAGTGCTAAAGACTTTGAAAAATCTTTGATAGAAACCCGCAAGTCCATGAAGGCTTCTTACTTCACTGACAGACTTTGGACTTGGCCAGTCTTTAATTGCCTTTATCTTCTCCTCATCAAACTTGATTCCATCTGCACTCACAACAAAACCTAAAAAGACAAGGTTATCTGTTCCAAAAGTGCATTTCTTTAAATTCGCATACAAGGTTTCCTTTCTAAGCACTTCTAAAACCTTTCTAAGATGTTCCACATGTTCATCTAAGCTTTTGCTGTAGATTAAAATGTCATCAAAATAGACCACAACAAAATGACCTATATAAGCTCTAAGAACATGATTCATTAGTCTCATAAACGTGCTAGGGGCATTAGTTAATCCAAATGGCATGACTAACCATTCGTATAAACCCTGCTTAGTCTTAAAAGCAATTTTCCATTCATCACCCTCTTTCAATCTAATCTGGTGACATCCACTCTTAAGATCTACCTTAGAAAAGATGCTAGAACCATGTAATTCATCAAGCATTTCATCTAATCTAGGTATAGGGTGTCGATACTTCCCCGTGATATTATTGATGGCTCGGAAATCTACACACATTCTAGCTGCCGTCTTTTTTGGGAACAAGTAAAACCGGTACTGCGCATGGGCTCATGCTTTCACGAATGTGTCCTTTGTCCATGAGCTCAGTGGCTTGTTTTGTAGCTCTTTGGTCTCCAAAGGATTGGTCCTATAGGCTGGTTTGTTCAGAAGAGAAGCCCCGAGTATAAAGTCAATCTGATGCTCAATGCCACGTATTGGTGGCAAGCCTTGTGGATTCTCCTCTGGAAACACATCTTTGAATTCTTCCAAAAGTAATCTTATCTTGCTAGGAATATCCTGCGTAGGCGTGTTTAAATTAAATCATTCTTTAAAAACTAGTAAAAAGTTTTGGAGTTGACTTCCCTTTGGTTTAGTGATCATGAGGCTCGTAGATGGAGAGACTGTAGAAGTAGTTTGCACTTTGCTCTTCTTCATAGCGATCTGGTCTTGCTGAACCTCTTGAGGAGTCAATGGGACCAAGATAGTCTTCTTACCGTGATAATCAAATGAATAGCGGTTGGTGAAACCATCATGTATAACCCTTCTATCAGATTGCATGATCTCCCAAGTAGAATATGCCCCGCATCCATAGGCAAGACATCACACAGAATCTCATCTTTGTATTTTCCTATCCACAAAGGCACCATAACTTGATTTTTGACCTCCATTTCTCCTGCCTCATTCAGCCATTGAAACTTGTAAGGTTTCGGCCTTTTCATCACTTTTAACGCCATCTTTTCTACCATAGACTCACTAGCCACATTAGTGCAACTATTGCCGTCTATAACCAAGCTGCACACCTTGTCTTGAACTATACATCGGCTATGAAATAGATTTTCCCTTTGCTCATCTCCATCGGTCTTGGTTTGAACATTCAGAGTCCTCATGGTAACTAATAGTTCTCCTCGAGCAGGCATCTCTATTTGTTCCTCATCATCTGACTGTTCATCTTCGGTTTCCACTTCCCCATTATCTTTAATGATTATTATCTTCTTGTTGGAACAGCTACTCGCATAGTGACCATACCCCTTGCACTTGTAACACTGAATATCCCTATTCTTGGAGGTAGTCACCAGTTCTTTTCTTTTGACGCTTTGTTCTTCACTTTTAGACTTGGAGAATGGCTTAAACTCTTTTTGAAAACTCGTTTTCTCATCCTTTTGGTAACTAGGCTTGGTGGACCCGTAGTTAGTCTTGTAGTTTCTCCTCTTGAGTTGCTTTTCAAACATGATGGATTTGTGCAGCAGCTCCTCTAGCTCCACATAGTGATGCACCTCTAAACGATATATAATTTCCCTGTTTAACCCCCCCCCCATGAATCTAGCCTTGGTGCTTCCCGATCTTCACGGATATCAGCTCTCATCATGAGCGTTTCCATCTCCTTGTAATATTCTTCGACAGACCGACTTCCATGGGTTAAACTTCTGAGTTTGAAGTGCAGCTCTCTGTGGTAGTGACTTGGTACCAAGTTTCTTCTCATGATGGACTTCAATTGGTTTCATGATTCGATGGGATCTTCTCCTATTCTTCTTCTTGTTGTAACTAGATTATCCCACCAAATTAGAGCATAATCTTTAAACTCTGTTGGGGCCAGCTTTAGCTTGTGTTCGGTGGTGTAGTTTCTGCAGTTGAAGACAAGTTCAATCTTCTTCTCCCACTCCAAATACTCTTCAGGGTCACCCGTGCCTCTAAATTCAGGGATTGTGAGCTTGAGACGACCCATAGGATCAATAAACCGTGGCTTCATTTCTTCTCTATCGCTTCCTCTCCTCTTTGATGAACGAGCCCTAGAGGAGTTGCTGTAGTATTGCTCCGAAGTGAAATGGTCACTGTTCTTTCTTTGTTTGTCTGAGACCATCTTCTCCATGTCAGATCTCATGCTTTCAAACTCCCGCCGCATAAGAGACATCATTTGAGTCATCATAGCATCCATCATAAGTTTGTTTGCTGATCCACTTGGGTTTGCAGGATCTTCTTTCTCATGAACCTATTCCTCCGTTGTACCTCTTAAGATGACAAGAAAACGACCAGTAAAAGAGCTTGCGGAATACACAAACTAGTTTTCAAACAGATCAAATTCGATACAAAACATGATAAATGATTTGGACTTTTAGAAACCCTAATTCTTTCTCTCTACGTTTTCGAAAAGTTCTTTAAATTTTCTGGTGACTTGTAAACATAAACTAGATTGATCGGATGCTAATGAACACGATATTGACTAGTTTCACACAAAACGTCACGATCAAATCAGAATATGAAAAGTCACAAATTGTTAAACATGAAAGACACAACCTGGGTTTAGAGATTTCCTCTGATACCACTTGATATGATCCTAGATGGGGATCAAGCCCTGGATTACTCTACAATGATTGTGAATCCAATATTTGGTGACTTAAGGGGGTTGCAGAATGAGGTGATTTGAGATAGCTTGTAAAATAAGGAAGAATAAGGTGAGATTGCCTTGATACTTCTAAGAGAGATGGAAGATCTCTTAGACTATCAACAGAATTTGGTTAGTTTGTAAGGCAAGGATAAAGATCCGAATACACTTAACAAACAATGATCAAATGTTTTCAGAGAAAGAGATTATAGAAAAGGGTTTGATGGATTAAAAGAATGACAATGAGTCATACATATAGAGTCTTGTAAAACTTGGGAAACAACAAAGACAGCTAAGAAAACTTAAAGACTCAACGACTAAGACTTAAACGAGTTTGAATTTGAAAACAGGCTCTTCTCTTCTTTGATCAAATATGGAGAACGAAATGGGATGAGTTTTCATCAAGAGGTCTTTGTAATAGTGTTGTGAACAAGCCTCATTAAAAACCTTGTTTGGAAAACCCAATTGGGACAAAACCAAACTAAGGGAAAAAGAGCACAAGTCACAACACCTCTCTTGATGAACTCTTAAGTGGCTTGTATCACAACCAGAGTAGTTGGATTAGCTTGCTTGAACTTCATTGCCCTTGATCTTGTCATTGGACCAATCGGAAGATGGAAGTCTTTATCTTCGTCTATACTCTCTTCCTCGGGTTTCAGCTGCTCTTGGTCTTCATTAGATTCTGATTCATGCTCTCCTTGTTCTCCATTAATCTTCTCAGTTCCTAAGCTGGTCTTGATCATATCATTTGGTGTCGAAAGTATACATAAAAGTGCATGTCTTGGGTATGGTAGAAAATTGTGTTAGTAAATAGCTCACTCACACTAATTTTTATCGACAGATCACATAGATATTTTGAGATCAGATATCGCATATGTATAAATTCACAAAAAACTGATAAACAAAATATAATAAACATATGATAAATAAAGTATTTATTAAATTCGTACGTCTTGCTTATTAAATATCTTACCGTTACCTAATTTTTATTTTTATGTTTATTGGCTAAACCATTCATATTGAAATCTATCTATTACTATAGTATTTTCAGGACGTAGGATTTAAAGTTTAATTTTATTAGTCCATATCAACTTATAAAATTAGAAAAGTTTCCAATTTTAATTATTATTATTATTAAATATAAAATATAAGAAAATTATATTTAAAATTTATATTACGAACAAAAACACCAACATAATATTAAAGTTGTGATACGATCATGGAACCAGAAGATGAACCGCGGGTCGAGGATCAGGTCAAGAATGAGGTTCCACACAAGACCTTGGTTGTTCCGGAAGGACCGATGACAAGATCAAGAATCCGGGGACTTGCAGGAGCCGTTCGAGAGCTACTTATCGAGATCATGTACAAAAGGAAGGAACCTACTGATGCAGCAGCACTCTAGAAGCTTCGATCAACAACTTTAACGGCTTTCCTTTTTCTTAATTCATAGTTTCCTTTCATCTATTTCCTTTCATCTATTTCCTTTTCTAATTGGTTTTCTATTTTTAGTAAAGAGTTGTTTTTCCTATTTCAATGGTCTAGGAGTCCTATATATAGTCAACCTCTATTAGCTTTGTAACGCAGACTTTTGAGAATTAATAAACAAGCAATTCTTTTCATTCCCTGAGCAAGATTTGATTGAATTCAAATTTCTTGAGAAGCAGGTCTCTAGTGGTTCTCTTTGAAATCCCAAGATTGAACTGAGTTCTGTTTTTACCCTCCATCACCTACACCTAGCGCAATGTCTATTCTCATGTACTCAGGTCGTTGCTAACTTGGTCCGGGTGTTTGATTTGATACCCTTTTTCCTTGCATACGGGTTTGTCCCATTGAGTTTAACGGATGGGTTTAAATGAGGTTAAGTTATGCACCCACCTCACAACCCAAGTTCAATCACGGCTTCGTTAGATCTGTCATTGTGGTTCACTAATCACGGGTCCTGCCCCGTTAAACCCGCCGCGGAGCAGGTGCGGGTTGGCCAATTTTAAACTATGCGGGTTGGGGATTACGGGGGTTGTGGATTATTAAATGCAAGGCAGGTGCGGGTGACAGTTTTTGGAGAAACGGGTTTGCGGGTATCCGCATCTGGTCCTGATTTTTTAAATTATATATTTTGAAAGTATAAGAAGCTTTTAGTTGGTTTTTTTCCCACTTTTTGTGTTAAAAAGATAAGTGGATAATACAGGCCTTATTTGAACAGGTCCAAGAATGGATTCTACTAAACCAGGATATGTTTTTATAAAATCCAACCAAACCAGAATCAATTTTAATTATGTCTTATGTCTCAAACCCTAGATCAACTAAATTCTTGCAAAATTTCCAATCCTTTACGGCGTAACGAGTCTCTGCAACTCTCTTTCACACAACTAACAAGGTTTATGCAACTCTCTCTCTAAGAACTTAAATCGATTCTGTAACTATTTCTTTCACAACACAAAGTTTATCATCTTGTGACTCTTGCTCTCTCAAGTTTATCTTTTCATTTTTTCATTTTCTCTTCTTTTTAACAGATTCTGGGAATGGATTCTACGAAGCCTAATCCAGCAGATTCTAGGAATGAATTCTGTTTTCACATCTTTAATTTTTTTTTTTTGCTTAAGTTTGAATACTGTTTAGTGTTTTGATAACTTATGTT